AATCTCTCATCAATTTCACTTTCTCTCAACTTTTTCTCTTCTCCACTCTCACTCTCACTCTCGCTCTCCCCTTCAAGCTCTCTAATCCTTCTCTTTGATGACACTCATGTAAAAAATTAAATTAGGTGACACATAACGAATTATGTTATATGATATCGTAAAAAAAATTATTTTTTAAAATAAAAAACAAGAATGCCTACTGAAAATCAAAATCCAGTGGTTAAGGTACCCTTATAACCATTAGAAATACAAAGACAAAAACATCAAAAGCATCAAAGTCTATTCTTAGTTGTTAATTTATTCTTAATTAATAATTTATTTTTAATTAATAAAAATCAATTTTGGTCCAATTTCTTTTTGTATTTAGTTAGACATATTTTGAATTTACCTTTTAAAATTTAATATTAAATAATACTATATTTTTTTTTGTATAATACTCTCTTTAATATTGAATAAAATTGGATTTTTTGTATAATACTCTTATAAATATTGAATAGGTACTAAATATTAATATATATATATTAGATTTGTCTTTTAAATTCTAAATCTTCATGTCTCTTTTTTTAATAAAATTTAATACTTTTATGAAATTATAAATTCTAAATATTATATAAATATTATATATTTGACATATATTTTAATTCCACTTATATAATCACTAATCTTTTCTTTTTTTTCTTGAGATAAAAAAAAATTAAATTATGAAATAGAAATTAACATGTAATAAGTTTCCTAATTAAATAATTAATTAGTAATAAATTTTTTTTAATTAAATAATTAATTAATATTAAATTTTATTAAAAAAAATTAATTTTAATTTTAATTTTTTAAAATTGAATTCACCTTACCCAATCCAAAATCCATAGAGATGAACCATAAATTAACTTTTTTAATCCGACACTAAAAATAATCCAATCTAAACAACGTAAAATGACCCTATCCGAACCCACTCAGACCTGTCTGCGAGGTCTGTTAGAAAAGTATGCAAAAAAGAACGAAAGATTCGCGAAAGAAACATGGGAAGGCCAAGTTAATTGCCAAAGCAAGGGTAAAATCGTCTTTATACGTTAACAAAGTCACCTTTTTAAAATGTCAGCCACTTGCGATAGGATAGGCCTTCACTCCTCCGTTTTTCACTTGAGTCCATGCTCTGAAACTCTCAAATGACTTCTTCAATTGCGCTCTCTTTCCAGACCAGGTTCTAATCCCCAAAGTCAACCCTAATTCTTTTCATTTTATTAGTAACTACTTCTTATGTGCTGAAGATTTCATCTTTATTGTTTTATATATACATTTTTTTTCCGTTTTTCATTTTTGAAGCTGAACCTACATTTACTCTACATTTTCCCTTGTGAATAGCCTGAATTTTACTGGTGTTTTAGGATTTTGGCGTGGTATAATTGGTGTTGATAAACCCATTCGTTCTGGTATTTTGTATTTCCTTCGCCAAAATTGGGATGGGTTATTTCTGGGTTTGCTTCTTGTTGTTGGGAAATTAGACACTGCTTCTTGTTGTTGGGAAATTAGACACTGCTTCTTGTTGTTGGGAAATTAGACACTTATAGCTGAGGCAACGTAATGTTTGGGGGAAGATTAATAATAATAATAATGTACCAGGGAATTCCAGTTTTGGGGTCCTCATGAAAATTATGCGAATTCAATCCGACCAAGAAACTAATTCCAACACCCATCAACACAGTATCCTTAATGAATTAGAGCTTTTGAATAACAATATTTACTCAGTCAGTTGGAAATGATCATGTTTTTACGTGGTCATTGATGTTATAATATTGGAAGCCACTAGCCATTGTTAAAAGTAATTTCTGCTACTTTTACTTGTAAGTTATAATTTATACTTGCTTGTTGAGATGTTCCAACTTCTAATAGAAAAAAGTTACAAACTTATAAGAGTCGTCTTTTGTAGAGATGGTGCAGAATAGCTTTAATGTTTTTTCGTTTGAAGGAAAGGATAGAGAAACTCAGTTTATTGGACTGAACTGCAACTTTTGTACTTGAATAACTGAACTAGGGTTACTTTTATTGAATGATGTGAATTGGCATTATTTTCGTCTGGAGTTAGGCTCATGAAAGGGGTTTTCACTCACCTAAGAAAGGGTGTTTTCTAGTTCTAAATGTTAAAAAATTACTTTCCAAATGCTAAGGGAACACTGCCCTGTAATGGGGTTTTGTTTCATAGGTCAAATATGATTGAGAAAACTAAGTTTTACATGACCATAGTTAAGGACTCGCTATAACATTTATTGATATAGCCTGCACCCTACCCTAAAAAATGGTGTATAGATGATTCTTACCTCTACTGTTGATGTGAAAATGGATAGTCTGAAAGGACAAAAAGAAATAAGATCAGAGGCCTCTTTTTTTTTTCTTTTTTCCTTTCTTCTATTGATTTCAAGACATATTTTCAAACTGAACTGCATTATGCTCAGCTAATAGGATCTTTCCTCTTTTGAAATATTCTAGTATGGTTTTCTATATTCCAATGTTTAGAATTCTTTGCTTACTGCATCTTATCAGCAAGCTATAGGATAGGCATTGGCATCTAATGTATCTCCTCCCCTTCTTACTTCATTTATTACCCAAGAGGATCAAGCATTATTTTGCTTTTAGACATTTTTGTTTGTTTGTTGGATTTGTTACATCAATGATGTTAGAATATTTAGATGCAATTAAAATATTGAGGATTTGACTCAATTACTTTCCTTTGGTATTTCAACAGCTTGGTCTCTTCATTTTTTGGAGAGAGAAATGGAATTTGTATTTCCAGTATTCCTGTGAAGTGTGTTGGTTTTCCAAGGAAGACCGTGGAATGTAAGGAATCTAGAATAGGGAAGCAGCCAATTCAAATTCCTTCCAATGTGACACTTACTTTGGAAGGTCAGAGTTTAAAAGTTAAGGGTCCTTTGGGGGAACTTTCACTGACTTATCCACGAGAAGTGAAAGTTGATAGGGAAGACTCAGGGATCCTTAGGGTTAAAAAGGCATTGGAGACAAGAAGAGCCAACCAAATGCATGGGCTTTTCAGGTAATCACTTTTGTTCTAGCTTTTTATTTTTATTCTAATTTTAAAGTGCCTTTTCTCAATTTTATTTAACTATGGTGACTGGTCAATATTTGATCTCTTCCTTGATAATTCTTATCCATCTTTAAATTTCTCTAACTACTTTAATAGGAATTTAATGATTAACTATAATAATATTACAAATTGATGACATAATTGCTTTTACCATACCAAGAATTATCTAAGTTGATTGATTATCTCATGTTATCTTTTTATGACAGTTAAAACCTCTGATTGGTTTATGTATTGTACATGATTTCTTTTTCTTTGTAAAGATTATTAAGGAGAATCGCAAATGATGTTTAGGTTATTTATAATCTGGATGCAATCATTTTGTTTAAGCAATGAGAGACTATGCGATTAAGGTTTCAAAATGTCTTGGAAGGGAACAAAAACAAGATAGGTTTCAAATTTCAGATTTGCATTTGGGGTTCCGGTATCTTTACCATGAACTGCCTGTTATCTGATGCTTTTTGCCCTTTACATCTTTCTTCTCCATTTCTCTTCTTTGGCATTTCTTGATGCATGATGCAGTATTTCTCCTAACTTATCAGCCGCATAATCCTGTACTCTTTGTGCAAGATAGTCACAGATGCATTCCTCTAGGGCTGAGGAACCATCTTCATCTCTTTCATTTCCTCACACCACTTTTTTTTTTCTTTTTAATTTCTGTAATGGGATTTATGTTTCTTGTTCTTCAACCTGCAAGAATCCTTGTTTATTCTTAATGTCCTTCATTCTTAATGCTGTGTGGTGCTCTGTGTGTGATGTGTGAGGCAATATAGTCATGTCCTGCACAACATCATCAAATAATGATTATGAGCATAAAATTTATCATATGAGCTGACTTAAAACAACCAGTGGGAGTGTCCAACAGATTGTAGTATGAACATAGAGAGAAGTCTTTATACTTTGAAATTAATGAAGTTAAATGTTGGATTTTTTAGTCTCATTGGGGCATCATTTTATATTCTTAGCTACAAATATCAGATATTTTGATAGTTAAGTAGCTATATGCCTATAACCCTTAAATTGTTAGCCCTAAGTGTTTGAATCATTGAGATCAGACACTTGATATGCATATCATAGTCAAGCATCAGCAGCTGAAATTAATAGCCATGTTGTTTTAAAGTTTTGTAGGATAGAAATATTGCACAGAAGGCAGTAATTTTGAAGCTGCAAACTCCAGATTTGACTTTAGTTAGTCATTCCTTATTTCCCTGATATTTACATCTCCATCCTCAACCTCAAATAGTTAAGAATGAAAGTTATCCTACCACCATCATTGAACTTGTTTCTTATGTACTTGCTCAAATGAATAAATTTTCTAGAACTCATACTGACAACAGAGTGTCTTTGCAGACAGAGAGGGAGCTCCTTACACTGTCACTTAAATTTATAATAACATTAAAATGCAGTGCTTGATGCCTTCTTTGTCACCTAAGATCATAATTTTATTCAGGATACAAAGCTTTAACCTTACGAATACTAAATTATTAGCCTTAAGTGTTTTTAATATATAGAATTGGAGATTAGATTCATAGGATGCATATCATGGTCAGCATTGGAAATCCGTAGCCAGGTTGCTTTAAAGTGGTGAAAATTTTGTTAAGATGATAAAAAAAATTGCACAGAAACCGTAGTTTTGATGATCTAGACTCCAATGTTGCCTTTAGTTAGTCATTCTTCTTATCTCCTTCCCTTTTTTCAGCCATCTTTCTATGGTTAGAGTAATGAACTTACCTTTATACAATGCATTTTTTAGTAACCTGTGATTCTTGCTGGCTGAAATGAAATTTCCAGGACTCTCACTGACAACATGGTGGTTGGAGTATCTAAGGGTTTCGACAAAAAACTTCAACTAGTTGGCGTTGGCTATCGTGCAACATTGGAAGGAAAAGACTTGGTGCTAAATCTTGGATTCTCTCATCCAGTTAGGATGGCAATCCCGGAAGGCCTTAAAGTTAAGGTGGAAGAGAGCACCAAGATTACTGTCGGTGGATATGACAAAAGTGCCATCGGTCAATTTGCAGCTTCCATCAGAAAATGGAGACCTCCAGAACCATATAAAGGGAAGGGTGTGAGGTATGCGGATGAGGTTGTCAGAAGAAAGGAAGGAAAAGCAGGGAAGAAGAAGTAAATGGTAATATATGCACCATGTTCCTCATTTAGGATTAATTTTGTGCTCGTAAATGTGTGCATATCCTAGAAACAAAAAGTACTTGGACCGTTGTTAAAGCAATTACTCACAATTAATGATTAGTTGGTTCATTTTTTTCCTGTTGCAACTTGTTCTTTGTTTCAATATGTGAGCTAAGTAACCAAATTGCCAAAAGTTCACAGAATAATTCATGCACAAGTCCCTTGTTTTGTGATTTAAACTGCATCAGGCTGCAAAGCATAAGAATGGGAGATACCCTTCAATATCAAAAGGTCACCTTTCATTTTATGGTTTTAAGTTGTGCAATTTAAACTGGATAATATTTTTTTGTTCATGTATTATTAGGAACAAGAGAAAAGAAAAGGTTAAGACATGTTGATCTTGATATCTAATCATAGTTATTAAATATGTAAAATATAATATACGTTTTAATTTTATCAAATTTATAATGTTATTATTCATAAATGTCTTCACATTTAATTTTTAATATTAGAATATTTTAATTTTCTCTTTTTCAAAAAATAAATTACACATATGTTGCCCCAAAAAGTAATTCGACTAATTAAGAATGTAAAATTTTAAAGTAAAAATTTTAAATTCAAATTTTGAATTAAGTAAAAAATGTTAAAAAAATAATAAAAATTATCTTTATTTATATAATTGATAATCATACTTAAATAAATAAACAAACACTCTGTAGAACTTAAGAAAACAAGTATGGAATCTAGTGTGCGAAATTCAATGACAGAACATCCCAAAATATATATATATATATTTTTTATTTTTTTTTTAAGAAAAAAACATCCCAAAATATTTTCCGGAATAGACAAGGTACATAAAAAACAGTGCTTTGAAAATATCCGCTGAAAAGTTTGGCACGTACAGCACGGCAGCACCTGTGCACAAACATCTCAACATCTTTTTTTTTTTAATGAAAAACATCTCAACATCTGTATGCCTCGGTCAATAACTTAGATCGTTCTGTAACAGCAGCAAGGTTCTTATCTTGGCCTAAGGAGGTGTTTGGTACACTCTCCTTGGATTAAGAGTTCGGGGAAATATTATCTCATAATTTGTAAGCATGTGTCTGGAATTGCTAGAATATTTTTTTTTTTAAACATGAGAAAATTGAGAAAAGGGAGACAACATCAAAAAAATTTAAATTATAGTGGTACTCATGAGCTAAGATGTATATTATTATCGCAGCCACAGCTGCGGGTGCCTTATATTGTTAGAATTTAGGACCACAACATGTACTGCAATTGATTACATTGCAATATAATGGCTTATATTGCTCGGATTCCTTTTCCAACATAATAAAATGTGATAAAGTTAACATTCAAGGGCCATAATCAATTATATTGGTATATAATTGGTTATAATTTTAATATAATTGTTTTTAAGTAAAATATAAGTGATCCTTTTTTTCTATAGACTTTTGTGCAAGATTTTTATTTTTCTTGGCTAAACCTTATAATCAATAACTCACAATTTTTTTGTAAAAATAATTTGAGAAAAGGCATATTAAATAGGCTCTAACCTTCTGATTTCCTATAATCTATTATATTAGTATGTTATTAGTTGTTTTTTAATATAATTGTTTTGAAGTAAAATATAAATAATTATTTTTTTCTTTCAATTTGTGTCAGAATTTTTTTTTTTTTTTTGAGTCAGGTCAAAGAATATATGGCTTATGGCTTCCCTGTAAAAACAATCCGGCAAAGACTTACCAAACACGATGATGCATGCGAGGCCACCCTATGCAAATCTCCACCGTAAACTGATGCAACAAGTTAAGTTGAAAATCCACTGGTAAAGTGCATCAAAATGGAATTTGGGTACTTTTATCTTTTTTACTGTGGAATGATGGGAAAAAAACTTGCCCAGGGTGCATTCATCCACACTGAAATCTTGTCCTAACAAGCTGGCATCCAAAATCTGAGAAGCCACAATGCAGTTATCAAACCCTGCTTGCCCCATCTTTGAGAAAGTTTTTCATAGATTCAAGACATTGTAGAAGAATTATACAAAATTATTGTCATTTTAGAATTCAATACACAAGGTTTTTCAGAACTCAACATGGTGGGGCGATGGCCGCTAGTCCAAAGCAGTAAAAATCCAAGTTAATTTAGATATGCAAATGCTATTTACTTATCAAAGAAGAATAGAAACATTAAAATACTATCTGTTTGCCATGCCTTGCTTCTTTAATATTTTCTCTTCTACTTGATTCTCTCTTTATTTCACAATTGACTTTTAATTCTGCTCCACTTTTAGGAATGTTAACTCAATGACAGGAAAACTAACTGGCAAAAGACTCATAAGTCTTTGCCGTGGTCATGGGTTAAGAAGTGAAGAAACTGCATTTTCCAACCTGATCTGCTACTTTCTTACTTTGAAATTTCTACAACTATCTCATTTTAGACTTATTGTACTAATCAATATTGGGCTTACTTGACAAATACGGTGAAATGTTTGGTCGATCAAAATAAGGTTCACTAAGTTGTCCTCATCAAATTCAATTACAATCAGAATAAGATCCAATAAAGCACAAGCATAAAATTCATTTCAAGTAATGTAAGATCTGCACTACTATTGGTGTCAACATGGGCTTACACACCTTGAAAAAATGACCTCTCTCATACCAAGTAAAACAACTCAAGTTCAAATCCATTATTAGTCTAATAACTTTTTGGTTCAAGTTCCATGAAACCTTTTTTACTGATCAATTTTGATCTTACTTGACAATTACAGCGTCATTTGCTAACCGAACTTGTGATGAAATGAAGTTTATTGAATTCTTTTATTTTTTTCTTCTCAAGAAATGATATGTTATCAGATAAAAGTCTTCCAGAAGCTGGAGACTTGGATCGTGTGTTACTATGGTTTTAATTGTTGGATATTTGATTCGAAAAGGTCCCAAAATTATTATAGCCGAGTATCCCAAGCTTGTTTAAAATGTAGTATTGTAGACTTAATATTGTAAACAAATTCTGTCTCAAGTTTGGGAATGAGTTCAAGTGAGTTGGTATAAACTTAAAATCTGTTACTTTCATTAAAACTACATTATCACTGGGTTGCTTAGTTCATTGCTCATCACAAAGAAATTTCCATTTGGTTTAGATCTAAAACTTAAAAGCTGCACATGTACAAATCATGAATTGAGAAAATTCCTAAACGAATTAATGAGTCTTATATTTAGATACTGCCTAGTGCTCTTATATATGCAGATAGTCTTGCACTTCATTGTAGCAAAGCTGTATAAACTTGGAAAAATTCGTCTGTCATCCATTCTTGGTCTCTAGAATTAAGCCTACTTAATTAAGCCTTCTGATATGAATTTCATTTCAATATAATGAATCAGATATCTCCAAGTAAAGAACGGCCAGAAATCTAACATGACAAATTAATCATCCTAATAAAACCTTCAACTCCAATCAATTTTGTGAAATTGTAGGCAAGTAAAGGCAAAGCAAGAGAAATGATATTCTGAAGGAACTTCTTCAACGTTAAAGATTTACAATGGATGTGCCATATTACGTCGTTAAGGTATCTCCAAACGTGGTGCAAAAGCCCTCTTGCGCAGCTTTCTCTGATTTACTTCTAGCATTCTGGAATCAAAGTTTTTCTGCAACCATTTGACTTGTCTTACCATTCCAGCATCCATTAAAGCAAATAAAGCCGAAGAATAAAGCCTTTGATCCAGCTGCATTTCTTTGGCTTTCATATCCTGCAGAAGTGTCACAATCTCATCAAGCTGACCAGTTTTAGAGAAAACCCCTACCATGATTCCTGCCATAGCGTTATCAATTACTCTTCCATTGGTTCTAAACTCCCTGTAAAATTTCACACACAGCTCATACTCCTTTGCCTTGTTGTAAGCACTTATAATGGTAGTGTAGCTAACATTATCTGGGGCCAGATTCCTCCGCTTCATTTCTCTCCATAGCTTCTCTACCTGTCTCAAGTTCTTGACTCTACCATGCATGTCCATCAAAGTGTTATAAACCCAAACATTTGGTTCACACCCTTTCTGTTTCATCTTAGCCACAAGCCTCATTGCATCTCTTACCCTTCCTGTTTTACCATACATTGCTACCATGTTAGAATAGGCCACAACACATTTATCAAACCCCTTTCGCAACATCTCCAAGAATGTCATTTCAGCTTTTGCACAGAGGTTAGAACGACAATACACATTTATGATAGATGCATAAGTCACTTGGCCCGGTATGCAGCCCTCCATGATCAACTCCTCATAGACCTTAATAGCAGCCTCAAGCCCTCTTTTTTTGCTGAAACCGTTGACAATTGCGCAGAAAATGCAATCAGAAACCTTCACATTTGCAGCCTGCATCGCCCACACAACATCTAGAGTCTTCTCTAGTAGCCCTTCTTCCACATACATCACCACAAGGTTCATAAACGCCCATGGATCCTGAATCATCCCCTTCTCCCTTGCTTCTTTGAAAAGCTCTTCAGTTACTTTTACATCGCGAATTACCGCAAATGCACATATCAAGGAAGAGTACATAAAAGAATTGCCCATGATTCCTCTCATTTTCATGTATCTGAAAAACTGAAGAGCTTCGTATGCTCGACCAGATTTCCGCAATGACTCACACAAGATACCAAACAACCAATTTGATAATTTTGGAGATGAAGTATCAAGAAGCTTCTTGCTTTCAACTTCATTGAATATTGCAACAACATTTTCAGTATCACTAAGTTTTTGATAAGCTTCCATTACCCTGCAATAACATCCCAAATCTGGAATAATCCCACCAGATTTCATTTCCTCATACACAGCCAAAGTGCTTCTAGACATGTGCAGTTTATTATAACCTTCCATAACTGAATCAAAGGCCAACACAGCCAATTCAGCATCAGATTTTAACACTTGAAGCAAAGCCTTCACAATCCTAAATTTTCTAGCTCTAATGCAGCTATTAATCAATTTGGAACATGTATAACCATCAGGAAAGACGCAGTAATGCTTAAAATCATCGGTAAGAGACATGATCAAATCCCATTTCTTGGACTTTACCAAGTACCTGATTAGAAGCTTTAACATTGGTTTTTCTGGTCTGAATTCTGCCCTTTGTTTTGCCTTCTCATAGAACTCGTATGCTGTTTCTTGATTTAGAGGGTCTTCAAACAATTCAAGTAAAGTGTTGTTTAATTTGATCCCATCTGGATTCTCAATCAGGAATTGTTGAGAATGGTCAAGATCCAAATGGGTATCTAGAATAGGAGATGGTAAGCTGGACGAGTGGACAGAGAAAGGAGCTGAGACGAAGTAGGTTCTTCCGGGTTTCCATGAAGGAAGAAGAAAAGTACATTTTTGAACTTTTGTGGAAGTGCCAAGAGAATTAGGAGGCAAAGACCAGTCTGGAGAACTGGAAATGGCCATTGGAGATGGGATTTGGGAATCAAGGGGATCTGAAGATAAGAAGCATTTTGGAGCATATATACCTTATCCTGAAAATATAGAGCAGAGAAGGGCAGAACAGAATGGGTGGGTTATCAGCCACTAATAAGTGTAGACTATGAGATTATTATTATTATTATTTAAACAATTATCATGAGATTGGTTTAAATCGTTGAAGAGAATGATGAACCTTTGTAGTGGCCGAAGTCACTTGACCCTAGAGTTAAGGTCGTAGATTATTTTGTTTTTTTTTTGGGTAAAAAATAGATTTGGAGATTTTGATCGTATGAGATTATCGGGCACCAACGTGACCTTTTTGGAAAAGCAAAACATATTCCATGCAATATTCGGATCAGCAGCAGGGTGAGGAAATGAGATTAACTTTGTGTGTGATTCACAGAAAACGATTTTTGATTTTTTAATAATGAAAATTTTATAATGAATTTCAGAATATTTACATATTATCAAAACGAGTGATAGCATAAGATATTATATTTTTTAATTAAATTAAAAAGCCCAATGAAGTTACAGAAACTGATCTTTGAATTAGTACCTTTCAAAGTTAATTTATGGACGATTATCCCTTAATTTTGAGTGGGATGTGTGGGAACTAGGAAATGGCCGGAAGATAGAAACCATATTTACTTTGTTAAAGGCAAAACTATAAGTTAAGCTCCTGAACTAACCCCACGATCACTATTAAGCCCTAGACTTTAATTGATGCATATAAGCCCTTGAACTCTGAGATCAAAGCAATTAAGCCCTTCTCCTTAAGCCAACTTAACAGCCGTTTGGGACTCCGTCGCGTGGCTTAACTGCCGTTTGGGACACACCCGGTCGGCTGCTTGGATGGCAAAATATTGCCATGTCATGCTTATAAGACACGGATTTAACATTTGAGCTGGATTTTTGAGTTATTTAATCATTTAATTTTTTGATTTAAATAAAGTTTAAATAAAATAAAGTCATATATTTGGGTACAAATATTATTTAAATAAA